TATAGGGAAAAGCCAGAGTAGGGAGGAAATAGGAAATAAAGCTAGCAGGAAAAGAATGAAAGCACTGATAAAAGCTTTTTATACCTATTATTTTGATTTTCTGATTCCTTTCTTTCAGGCATCTAAAAACATCAATATCTGCTTTATCAATAAGCACTTTATACATCCTCAAAAAGATCAGCAACTTACTTGAATTGGTGTACTTTTGGGTGGGTTTATACTTGATGGAACAATTGGTCTAGGTGGAAAGGGGCCAATATTAGGGGGTGCTGGAGGGTTTGAGTACCCTGGATAGGTGGGTGTACTTCCATTGGAATGTCCCCTTGGCAATGGAGGCCCTAAAATAATAGAGGAGGTAAAAGACTACTTCATAATGAAATTAYAAAGATTCAATTTCATCACATATCAAAACTGCCTCATCTACATGTTAAGGAATCCAGCTTCTCTGGTTTTTAATAAATTATGAGCTACCTGTGGAAACAAAATTGAGACGAGAGAAGACGGGAAGAGGAATCCCATCACAGTTTAGAGAGGTATCACAGCTATGTGTAAATTAGTTTCTAAGTGTCTAATTCATCCATCCTCTACATAATAAAAAAAGATGACCTTACCCTGCTGTGGAGGAGGACCATATCCATGAGGAGGGACTGGATAGGGTGCTACTGGTGGCTATTGACAAATAATATAGGGATAACAACAATTATCTTAACATAATCATTAATAATAATATAAAAATAATTAATAATAATATTTTAGCYACATACCTGAACAGGCCCTGGAGGAGGTGGTTGTCTATAGTAACCTCCTGGTGGTGGTGGGATGGGTCCTGGGGGTATGGGGTAACTTCCTGGTGGGTGTGGCATACCAGGTCGAGGTGGATAAACCATTGGGGGCTGAAAATAAAAATATAATTAAAGATCATGAAGAATATTATTAAGAAGTTACATGTATAAACAATTTTACTTACTATATAGCCTGGCGATGGATATCCTAAGASGCATAAAATAAATTAGTTTAGGATYGCATATATTTATGATAGTTTSTCATTGATTTGTGCACTATGTAGAAAGGTTTTATAGCAAGAAGTGATGCAAACAACACAACTAACTGATTCAATCCTTTCCTATGTMTTTGATATAGGAAGACTTTATAGCAAGATGCAATCCATTGAACACATCCTACTGATTGTATGCTTCCAACTAAACGCYGTTTGAACGAATGAATGAACTGGATGGATGGATGAATGGGATGAATGAATGAATAGGAAAATGGGATGAATAAATGAGCGAATTCAATGGAGGGATACATGGACAGATGGATGTATTGGCAAATAAATGGATCAATAGATGAACAAATAAATTGATGGATGAACAAATGAATGGCTGAGCAAACAAAAGACTATTACTAACAAAAAAAGTTACTATAAATAATACTGTACCTGGTTGTGGTATATGTCCTGCTTGCTGAGCTCTTTTCAATTGTTCAAAACTTTTGTATTCATTATTTACCTAATATAAGAAAGCAAGTATTGCAATTTAATATATCAAAGGACACAGCATAACTACACAGAAGAACTTAGGTTTATCAAGCTTGAGAACTTACAGTTTCAATCAGATTCTCTACAAGTGTTTTAGCAGCTGMAAGTCCTTCTGGTTTAGCATGACTAAGATTAACCAAACATAGTAAGCTTCAGGCCTGGGGTTCCTGTGTTTAATTGAGAGAGACTGGGGTACAGGATGCAATATGAACAAATCCACAAACCTTATGTAAATGTGAAGTGCTTCAAAGGCTTCTCTACCAGARGTTGGTTCTAGGAATCCTGACCCTTTTCCTCTCAAAAAAACCTGTCAATTGGAGGTTGATCAAAACTTTGATGGATGGAAATCACTTCTAATGTGCTAATACTAGTAAACAGATTCCTACCTTTGCACCAGTTTCAGTAGTTATATGCTGAAAATAGGAACCCTAGAAAACAGTGTTTTATCAGATAYRAAGTCCATGCATTTGACCTAATAGGCTCATTCTATTGGCCTAATAAATCATTGATTATGAAAAAAACACTAGAAAAC